AGAATCTTACCATCAACTGTCACTAGTTGGAACTTTGATTTACTTTTTTTATTTTTATTTTTTTATTAATAAGGTAATTTCCGACCTCAATTTGCTTTGGGGGATATAAATGTAACACAGAAACAGTTTGCAAGAACTACTGCTTTTTTTAATGCTTCATAGACATCTAAACCTTAATCTCCTCCATCACTGGACAGTAGGCCGACAAGTTCTCTCCAATGGAATCATGTTTTTTTTTCAGCTAGTCCTCATGAGAGGTGACCAAAGTAACTCTTCATACTTTAATTATCTTTTAATTTTGTCCCCAACAATTTCAAGATTATTTTTATCAGAATTCCGTCATTTTTATCACTATCGATACAGTTTTACTGCGGAAAAAGTGACGTTTTGAAAAGAAATTACTACCCAACACATATTTTTCTTGCACTGATAAATTATTTTTTCATTCACACAGATATTTACAACCTTATCATTGATGGTTAATGTAATCTTCAACAATAAAGAATTTTGCATGCTATAGAAGGCTAAATGACCTTTATTATCTTTTCTGTATCTTCTCACTCCACAACTGTAATTGTTGACTTAACAATTTGTTTCTCTATATAAAAAATGACAGGATTAGTTTTCGCAGCTACAGAAACTAAAGAATCTGATAAACGACACATTTCCTTCGCAAACTAATAATAAGGGTAGTAAAAAGGATGTAAAACAAAACTTCCAGACTGTACTTTATATGCCCTTTGTCTAGCACCACGAGGATTTGTTTTTACAATTAAAAAAACTAAAGAATCTGATAAACATACCCAAGACACTTTTTTCCAAGCGCATTTCCTTCGCAAACTAATAATAAGAGTAGTAAAAAGTATTTAAAACTCAAAACTTCCAGGCTCTTCATTGTAGGTACTCGTCTAGCATCGAGAGAAAGTGATGTGAAAGTGAGAAAGCGAAGAAGTAATCGAACGAAATTGTAGCGGATGACGCATGCGAGGAAAATCAAATAAACCTACAAAAAATTGTACATAGCTGTATTGTGGCACTAAACACTTGCAAGCAGCCTAATAAACCCATTTAGAACTGTAATACATATTCACGTGACAGGCCTCCAGGATAGTAGTGGTAACGTGTCGGGCTCTTAATCTTTACACGCCTACCAGGCGTGTAAAGTTTCAACTCGCCTAGAGGTTACTGCTGTAGTTGGGCACCACGGTGGGAAAGGACTTGGCTCAGTCGAATTAGCACCAGCTGCTTCACACTGTATTCGAGCCGGCATTAGTCAGCACAGGCTGGGCATAGGCGTAGCCCCGGTCGAGGCTCGGACTTATCTTTATCCTTCACGTGGCAATGAAGACTGGATCCAAGGGAATCATTTCCATCATGGTTAGACTGTGTAAGGTGCTGATAAAGCTGTTTCGCCTTTAACATGCCATATGTCATGCTAATAACGAAAAAGATAGTGGTCGAAGACCTGGCGTATCGTATGTTGGCCATTTAGATTTATTAGTTAAAGTAATAAATATGGATAAGTGTTTTCGCCTTTAACATGCCATATGTCATGCTAATAACGAAAAAGATAGTGGTCGAAGACCTGGAGTATCGTATGTTGGTCATTTAGATTCATTAGTTAAAGCAATAAATAAACAGTAGCAGATCCAAATATATGTAAATATATTCAACTCGCCTAGAGGTCACTGCTGCAGTTGGGCACCACGGTGGGAAAAGACTTGGCTCAGTCGAATTAGCACCAGCTGCTTCACACTGTATTCGAGCCGGCATTAGTCAGCACAGGCTGGGCATAGGCGTAGCCCCGGTCGAGGCTCAGACTTATCTTTATCCTTCACGTGGCAATGAAGACCGGATCCAAGGGAATCATTTCCATCATGGTTAGACTGTGTAAGGTGCTGATAAAGCTGTTTCGCCTTTAACATGCCATATGTCATGCTAATAACGAAAAAAATAGTGGTCGAAGACCTGGTGTATCGCATGTTGGCCGTTTAGATTTATTAGTTAAAGTAATAAATAAACAGTAGCAGATCCAAATATATGTAAATATATGCCCCTATTCTGCTAGAATATATGGGGTGAAGATTTAGCAGAGCAGGCAAGGGAATGGGTGTTTAGGGGGCAAAGGCCATCTACTTATTATGAATGTATATCACAATTTCTAATTACAGAATGGTTTACTTCTATAATTTGCTTTTATTCTACAACTTCCCTGAATATCTATCAGGCTGACATCATAAGTACTAGATTCTTTCAAAACGTGACATCTTTCAGAAAATTGGTGTTAAGCATTATTTCGTAATTTTACCCAATTTAGATATAGTGGCGATCTGGACTATCTCTTGAAATGTTCAGAGGGTTTCACTAGAGTTCATGGAAAAGACAAATTATTTGTGATGACAAATAACAGTCTCAGTCCTTGTCGGTGGAGAAGTTCTCTGACGAGCGAGTCTGACTCTAGTTGGAATGAATAATGAGACTAAGCACATCTACCCCCTTTGCACGTTCATAAATGTCTTTTTGAATGCTGAAAAATTCCTGAGGTCATTGTCTTGAACCATCTTGCCGTGTTCTGCGACGTCGTCTTGGGGTCAGAGCTTTGTATGTGGTTGACACGTCTTTGGATCACTATTCTTTGGTTGTACCATGCAGCATAAGATCAGATTTCAGGGAGCTCTTAGGAAACGTCGATTTCGCCACAGACCTTCCTGATGCCATCTGTACAAGGTAGTCTCTTGTCATACTTCTGTTGCATACATTTATATGTATCTGTGTCCTGGATGGGAAGCATGATATTAAGGAAAGCTGTAGAGCATTTGTGATGGAAATTAGCCATCCACACAAAGCATATTTTGAATTTCTAGAAGTCCATGGTTGAATGCCTCTGCATTGGTGTTTCCATTAGGTGCAACCTTTAGTATCAGATGCTTGACTCACTTGACTGTTTCAGTGTGACCATTACTCTGATGGTAGTGAGGTGTATATATTTCATGAACTCCCCATCTACAAAATCTTGGAATTTTTGGTAGGCGAACTGGGGACCTCCATGCATTTAAATTTGTTCAGGAAGAATGTTGTTGTATCAATGTCATAATGAGCTATGACTGGCCATCCAGACAATCAGTTGACACAAACTATGAACTGTATCCTAGCAATGCCGAAGAGATCATCTGATACTGACTCAAAAAGTTTATGAAGAACTTCTCTCATTCTTTCCAAAATGGTCATCCTCCATTTCATAACAGTTGGGGGGGAATCCTTTAGGAACCTTTTCAAGGAGCTTGATGTAGGTTAGGCCATTATGAGATATTACATTCATATCGTCAATTACCGGGTCACTGCTCTATGGTGCTGAGGTAGTACCTTCAACCGCACATAAGGTCATAACTTACTATGCTATTATGCTCTGTACATTGTGAGTTATCTCATTGCTTTGGTCAATGTCCACAGGGACATGTGATAATATATCAGAGATGGACAGTTCCTTTCCCTTTTCCCAAGTAGTAGTGGTTACATATACGGCAATTTTTTTTTCAGTCACTGGAGTCATGGGTTCTCTATCCCATTTAGCTTATATGATTTCAGACCACCACTGGTTGCTGTTATGAGCATAAATGTAGATAAAATCTACATTTAGCCATGGACCATACTGCCGCTACAAGCTCCAGCTCAATCCCTCAACTCTTACTAAAAACCGTGAACCACACTGGACAAGTTTCCTCCTGTAGTACGATATATCTCACACCATACAGGCGGGATATATTGGTTTAAAGTGCAGTCTTCTGTGCAAGGTCAAACTAGGCAATAATGGGTGGTTGAACTAAAGCTTTCTTCACTTGTTCAAATGCAGCATCAGCTACTGTTCAAACAGAAATTCTTCATGGGCTCATCAGTGGTCTCAGATTATTTTACTGACTCTGTTTATTCACAAGTCCCATAAATGATCGTAAGTCAGTCAAATTAGCAGGTTTTAGGAAGTCAGCAATAGCTCGAATCTTATCCTTGTAAGCAGCAATGCCCTCTGTAACCAGCCTGTGACAATGAATCCCATTGGTCCACTGCAAAAAGACACCATCCATATTGCGTCATATAAGTTATCTAATATTGGATAAATATTCCTAACAGCAGTAAGTTTAGTTGGCAATGGGTAAGTTGGGCATGACGCCTGGTTATTTAACTTTGTCAGGTCCACTGTTATTCTAACATCACCTACTGCCACTAGCTTGTGACACCAACTTATAGGCTCATATCCTGCTGGTTTCTTTATGGCTTGTGTGACCATTGCCTTCAGTTCCTTCTTTACATCTTCCTGCCACTTGGAGTATATACTGCGAATGGCTACGTTTCCTACAAGTGTATGTCTCTTCGCTCCAGGCATCTTATGTAACCCCTTTACTTGCCTGAAGTCCTCTTTCGTCATCAATACTGCCTCATTTTTCTGATGAATAGTCCTCAGCTGACAAAAGGTTTGGCGATGGTGAGTTTGATTTCCATGTTGGCACTGGTTTACCACTCCATCTCCATCACATCGATTGTCCTTCAAAGTGATCTGCTTCTAACAATCTTGTTGCTGTATAATATGTCATATT